CAGCCCCGCGGCCACGCTGCCCTTGGACGGGTCGCGGCTGAGCGTGTACATGGAGATGTCCGTGGAGGCGAAGCCCGGGCCCCCGGGGCCGCCGGGAGACGCGTCCCGCGACGGCGACGGCTCGCTGGAGCGGGAGCTGGAGCGGGAGCGGCGGCGGTAGCGGAAGCGGTAACTGGGCAGACGGAGGATGGCCGAGGGGCCGCTCCCGCCACTGCCGCCCGCGCCCCCGCCGGCCTTGAGCAGGTCCGAGCGAGACTGGCAGTGCGCCTCGCGGCTGCGCTCGATGTAGATGTTAACGGCCAGCACGCCGATGACCTCGGCCAGGATGAAGGACAGCCCGCCGAAGTAGAACGACCAGCCGTAGGAGTAGTGGTTCTTCTTCTCCTCGTCGCGCTTCGGGCCCGGCTCGCCCGCGTTGGCCGAGATGTACACGATCACGCCAATGATGTTGCTGAGGCCTGGACGGGGATGGTCAGAGGGAGCCTCGAGGCCACCCCGCCCGACCCCAACCCAGGGCCCAGGCCCCGCCCCCTGCTGACCCAGGCCCCGCCTCATATAGCCTAAGCCCCGCCCCTAGCTGGCCCAGGCCCCCCTCCAAATAGCCAAGCCCCACCCCTCGCCGACCCAGACCCCGCCCCATACAGCCTGAGCCACACCCTAGCTGGCCCAGGCCCCGCCTCACACAGCCTAAGCCCCACGCCAAATAGCCCAGGCCCCGCCCTTTACTGGCCCAGGCCCCACCCCTAGCTGGCTCAGGCCCCGCCTCACACAGCCTAAGCCCCAGTCCGAGGAGCTTAAGCTCCACCCCTTGCTGGCTTGGGCCCCGCCCCAAGTGGCCCAGGCCTTTCCCCCGATGGCCCAGCCCCCGCCCTGCCTGGTCTGAACTTGACCTGTTGGTCTAGGGCCACCTCCAAGCGTCTAAATTCCACCGCCCAGGGGTCCAGGCCCTGACCTACATGGGCCGACCCTGTCCTGCGTGGCAAGGCCATAGTTGGTCCAACCCCTGTATCAGACGGTCTACTTTCCTCCCGAGGGTCTAGGCCTCACCCCGGGTAGCTCAGACCCCACTCCCGCGAGTCCTAACTGCTCCCTCCCCGGCTGATCCAAACCCCACCTTCAGGGACTACGCTCCCACTCTTTTGGCTCCACCCCCGGGGCCTAGGCCACACCCCAAATGGGCCAGGATCGCCCGCCCCACCCCGTGCTGGCCCAGGCCCCGCCTGCTGGCCTAACCTCCGCCCCCACAGGTCTAGGCCCCCCGCTCTGACTGGTCCTTTGCCGGAAGCGGTCGTGATCCCAGCTACTCCCTCGAGGCTGATGCCGAAGGATGGGAAGGTCAGGGCCAACCTGGGCAACCTAGGGAGATCCTGTCTCAAGGTAAAAACGCAAGGGCTGGGATGCAGCTCAGTGATAGAGCGCGGGGTTCACGCCTAGCATGCATGAGGCCTTGGGCTCAATCCCCAGCCCTGCAAAAAAAAGAAAGTAGTAAAGCAAAACAGAATGCAGCCTTGGTGAGATAGTCCTGGCCCAGGTTTCCAAGCCCTGCCTCAGTTGGTCTTATTTATCAACCTGGATTTTCCCCACTGCCTGCTCCTTTGAACTCCTCTTTAACGATGAAATCGCACTCACTCTAAAATCCCGCGTCTGCTGACCTAAACTCTGCCCTCACGGGTCCCGCCCCGCGAGGCTGGCGCTGGCCTGCGTTAGAGCAGGTCTTCCTCCGTGTGCCCGGCCTCCACCTTCCGAACCGGGCGCCCTAGACCCTCCCGGGGCGCACCCCGCCCCCTCCTCCCGTGCCCCCCAAAGCCCCGCGCCCGGAATTTCCCAGCGCTTTCCATCAGCGCGGAAGGGGGTCTGGCCGGGGCCTGGGCCTCCTCGCCAGGTGCCCCCGCGGCTCAGCCTCGGGAACGGCCTGGTTCGAGCGGCGGGCCCTGGGCGGTGTGGCCTCCGCCTGCTTCGGATCCTCCAGCGCCGCCCGCTCTTCTGCAGCCTCTGCTGCTCCTACGGCCCGCGGGCCGCCTGGCCACCCTGGCCCAGCCCCTTCCGGTTCCCTCAGGCGGCCCCGCGGAGTCCCAGGACCCCCTCGTGCGCGCGCGCCCGTGCCGCCTCCGGCCCCGAGCGCCAGCGCGCGCACCTCGGACGCGCGCCTGACACCTGTCTGCGCCCCGGACGCGCGCTCGGCGCCGGACGCGCGCGCACGCGGATGCCCAGGGACGCGCGGGGGCCCCGCCCCGCTGCCCCTCACCTGCGGCCACAAACAGGATGCCCGCGCCCAGGATGATGTTCCTCTTGGACTTGTAGACGCGCGAGGCCGCCACGCACACGCCGCCCAGCAGCAGCAGGATGGCGCTGAGGATGGGGAAGATGCTGGAGGCGCGGACGACGCCTGCGGAGGGAGCGAGGCTGGGACGCGCCGGCCCCTTCCCCCTCGGTCTCGCCCGCCCGCCCTTCCCTCCAGCTCCCTGCGTCGCCCCCTCCGCCTCGCTGCGCTCCGCCAGCCTTCCCGTTTCCGTTACTTTTCATCCTTCCCCTGCCTCCTGAGAATGCGTCCTCTCCCCACACCGATCCAGCCCCTTAACACCTGTCGTCGTCGGCCTCTCCATCGCTCCCTTCCCTGCCTGGCTTCGTCTGAGTTTTTCTCCCGCCTCCCCCCGTCTCCTCTCCCTCTCTCCCACCCATCCCTGTATCCCTCCGTCCCTGTCCCTTTCTCTGTCCCTCTGCAGTCCTTTCCACCCACTCCCGAAACCCCAGGCAGCGGACTTTGCGATTTCTGAGCCGGGCTGAAGACTCAGCCAATCGTAGTCCAAGCTTTGCCACGTTCTCCCAGCAGCTGCCAATCGCAGTCCAGGCTTCCCCGAGCCGGCTCAGAAAGTGGTCAGTCCCCGCCACAGATTGGCCCACAGCCCGGACGCGGCAGCCAATCTCAGCCCGGGATCGACAGCCACCGCGCCGAGCTGCCGCGATGGTCAAAGAGAGCCAAGCGGCCAATCAGCAGCCAGGGTCCGCCCCGAGCTGCGAGGAGGGGGCGGCAGCGACGCCACTCAGCCAGTCGCGAGCCGGAGGATCTCAGCTCCCGGGCCGGGATTGGCTAAGGCGCGCGCGCGCGCGCTCTGTCCCCGCCCCCGCGGCCCGGCCCCCACGTACGGAGCAGGTACTCGGCGCTGTCGTGGTCGTAGTCCGTGTCCTCCGGGAAGTGGTTGATCTTCACGCAGACGCCTCTTTTCAGCCCTGGAGAGGGGACGGGCCGGTGGGGGCGGGGCCCGCGGGAGA